CAGTAAATTTAGTGGTCTTTACTCTATAGGAGAGTGTTTACAAAATAGATTACCATCTACCTCAGTACCGACAGAAGCCATAATCTGATCAGATGTAGAGAATGAACTACTAACTATCTCCAGAGGGACTCAGTTCAGCAGCAACACAGCTCTGGGGTATAAGTTATTGAGAAGCTTCAGACTACTCTATAATTTAACATACTACATGTAATGCCCTCAGAATAGGGACAGATCAGTCTTGTAATTTCTCTTATAGAAGAGGACACTTGATAATGAAGATCCAGCAGGGATCTGCTGAAGGAAGAATTCAGATACAGAAAGCTAAAGGAGATGCTCATATGCTCCCCTGGATAAAGGATTTCCTGGAGACCGCACAAAAAACATTATAGGCATGAGAAGGGAAATGCCCAGTAACCTTCTCAGAGGCGGTAATTTCATGAATGGAGCAGTTTATGGGAAGAATAGACAGAAACCTGAGTGGAAATTTTTTTTTTTACTTTATTTTTGTATTTTATACTAAAGGATATTTAGTTTGTGTAGGCAATAGATTTCCTTTTCTTTACCGATTCAGCTGATGATATCAATTAAAGGAATGAGACCGATAGCCTTTTATGGAGTGTTGTTTTTTAATATATTGACCCATATGGCAGAAACATTACTGTGTAACATTGGTAAGGAGTAAGCATATTTGTTCACAAAAGCAATTTTTCAGACACACTCATCACTGGGGGGGTGTGTGGGTGTGTGTGTGTGTGTGTGTATCTCAGGCAGTGCCGGATTTAGGCTTAAGCTACAGTTTAGGGCCTCACACTATGAGGGGCCTCTAAATAAAGAAAAAAAACTGGACATTTTTGTTCTAATATGACCAAAATATACCTATACATGGCTCCATAGTTATTATTCATAGAGTTCATAAATTTGTGCAGAAATAATAATGAATCTTAAAGTTTCATGAAAATCCATTTTCATGGATTTTGTGGATTTTTTTTATTGTATGGGGGCCTCTTAAACTGGACAAAGCTCAGGGCCTCAGCATGTCATAAACTGGCACTGCTCAGACACCTATACATTGATAAAATGACAAGTCATATAATTTGAGAAACAATAAAGTCCAGAAAATAGGGCACTTTTACACATGCTTCATCCCTGCATCTTGTGTATCAGCATCCCCGTGCTTAAAAATGGTGGCAGGGGTACTTGAACCAAAACTCATTTGTCATTGCCATGCTCCAGCAGACTTGACTGAGTCTGCTCCAACATACTGGAATTCCAAACCCAATGAGTGACAGGGATTATTCTAAACCTCTCATAATTTAGCTGAGGGATTGCTAAACGTTGCTTGGGCCTTTCAAAGCAAGCTGTTGTCATTCTTCAGGTATTTTAAGGAGGAAGCTATTGGTTCATAGTCCACTGTCAGGAAATGAGGATGTAGTCACTATAGAGACATAAACATGATATTTTGAAGGAGAGGAGCATCATAAAATACATGAAAACATACAGGCCTTATTCATGAAAGCATCAATGTTTAGTAATGCATTTAGCTACTTGCTTAAGTGCTGTCTTATATCAGGTCTATAGCAACTTCACATTATCAAAAAATTATACATTGAATCATATTTTATTCTACAGTAAGAATAAAATAAAAAAAAGTTGGCCAATCTTCCTGTCCTTGTAGCATTTTGCTAAGCACCCTTATCTAGAAAAGTATACTTAAAAAAAAAAAAAAAAAAAAAATGCCAGCTTGGAGCTCAAAATATAAGGCTAAGAAAGCTAACAGTCAAATATAAGGAGGTGAGGCAATTCAGGAAGAAACCAAAGAGCCAGAGAGGTGATCTACAGATTTAATATTAGCTTGCCTCATGCTAAGTAAATACACATTTGAGGGAAGGGGATTGAAATCAGGAATACTTAAGCACTATTGTATATGATTCACATCTGTAATTTCTGGGCATCTCTTCTTTGGTTTCTGTATCTCAGAACCATCTATTTGTCAAGTCCATTTAAGAGATGAGAAAGAAATTTTCAGTCTGAGAACATGAAGCAATATAGCAGGTTGTTCAATCAGCACTGTGTCCAACAAAGAGGATACATCTCACATGTTAATTCAGGTGTTAACTTTTATAAAATAATCTAATTCATAAAAGAATGGAAACTTCAGCAATATAACCAGTTTTGTGTATATTATTAATATACAATAAGTAAATGAGAAGCAGTACGTCCTGGAGAGCTGCACCTGCATATAGGACTTGAAGCCAGGGCATCATGAGTTCTATTTCTGCATCAACTACTGACTTGATGTGTGCTCTGGAGTAAGTTGCTGAAGATCTGTCTTAGCTTAGATTGCACCTGTCCACCCCACAGCAGGAGAACCTCTACTGACCATATGAACTTTGTATAGAATTGCTACTGGTAAATCTCTTGCTTCCTCAGCTTCTCATGGCTCCACTCTCCAAGAGGGCAAGGAAGTAGAGCAGCTCTTTCCATGAGAACCTGCCATGGAGCAGAGCTCTACCTGCAGAGGCAGTGGGGACCATTACTGTTGCCCCATGGTGGTAGGCACCAGTGCGCACTGATCACCGTCAGTGATGAGCCACCTGCCTGGTGTTCCTTTTTCCCCAGGTTGGAGAGAAGGCAAGCTATCAGTGATTAAGCAAACTGAAAGACCTTCTTCTAGGGCAGGGGGTGAAAGAGGAGCAACCCCCTGTTGTCCCCTGACTGGAGAGCATTTCTTTGCAGTGACTATAGTACTTCAGCTTGGAGGGAGGAGGAGGGCACTGAAAATGTGGGCACTGCTTATGCTGCAGCACTTGTAGCACTACAAATACACTTCTGGTTGCAGCTTAATATTTATTAGACACTGTTTGAAATAGCCATGGCAGAATCCTACCTCTATGTAATCTCAGAAAAACAGCTTGATTTGACCAGTATACAGGAAAAGCATCATACTTTCAAGTCATAAACTACTTGTATGGAAAGCACCAGGCCAATACATGGAAGTTTCCTGTAAAGTAAAACAAAGATATCACCTACCTTACCATAAAAGGAGACATCCTATGAAATAGAAAACTCTTTCAGTGTAGAGTAAACACTGATTGGTGTTAGCACTGATAGAGCAGTGATCCCAGTAAGTGGCTATGTTGCACTGTTTAATGAAGTGACCTTATTTCTTTTTAAAATGAGGCAGAAATTTCAGTTTAGCCATAAAACAGAGGGACTTCCTATGCCACTGCATTTCCTCCTGGGCAACTGAAGGTAACCATGCCACATAATCCTGTAAAAAATGTGTCAAGGTCAGGTCTTATAACTATTGGTAGTTAGGGTTTTTGCCTTCACTACTGCTGTAGGCTGTTTTAAAACCTCATTGCTCTGATACTTAGAACACATCTTCTGTTTTGCAGTATCAGAATAAGCCAAATACAATCCTTTGCAGCACCAGCTTAACATGTTAGTAATAGTATACCTAAATCTTAGAGGTGAATGGAAGTGAGATTAATTTTAACTTCACCTGCATGGATGAGTATTTGAGCTAAAATGAAATTCACGCCCCAAATCCAGGGATATGTCTTATCACATTGCAACCTTTCCCCTCCCCCCAAACTCCCAACTCTAATAGATAAACATAAAGGTAATAAAACCAATCTGTGGAATATCATATGGATAACAACATACAGTAATCTTCAGAGTTTAGGAAAGACTAAAAATAGCAACAACAACAAAATTAAGACAAAACACTACAAGGATTGGTCAATTGCAGATAAGCACTTGAATAACAAAGCATGTTTATTTTATATTCTTTTAAATTTTAAAAGAAACAAATTACAAGCAACTAATGATAATGTCCCCTCCATTTCTGTTATGGTAGGCTGTAGGTTCTGTATTAGGTAAAATTGGGCACTTTTACACATGCTCCAGAGTGGTGCTTTTATTACAACAGCTCTGAGAGTTGCTCTGATTAAAGTGCTGCTGCATCTTGTGTATCAGCATCCCTGCACTTAAAAATGGCAGCAGGGGTGATTGAGCTTTAGCTCAAGTGCCCTCGCTGCCAGTTTTAAGTGTAAGGATGCTGATACACAAGACATAGGAGGCTGTAGGAGTGTGGAAATTGCCAATTAATAGAGTCTGCTCCAATGTGCTAGAATTTCAGCATGTTGGAGCAGCCTCCACTCTTGTGTACAGGCATGCATGCACAGAACAATTGGTTAATAGGACTTTCTGGCAAAGTCAACATTATTATCAAGCTTGTTCTGAACAGCTAGAAATTCAACAATAATTATTGATTCTGCAAAATGCAAGATTTGGGATTATACAAGCCAGTGGGTCATCCAAACCTGCTATTTAGGCTACTGACAGATGTTATATTAAAAGGTGCAATGAGACCTGATGAGCAATCCCAACAATCCCATTTCCTGCCATGCCACATGTGCATGGACTCCACCTGCACTGGCAAGTAGCGATCTTGGCTCCCATGTACTCCTGTGGCTGGGAGCTACAATCAGCTGACTGGGGCTCCCAGCCATGGGAAAGCAGTTGGGGCCAAAGGCTGCCCTGCACTTCCCTGCCTGGGAATCTTGATCAACTGACAAGTGCCCCCAGCCTGGGTAATGTACTGGAGTCCTGAAGGGTTCTAGTGTGCTCCTGAGGCTGGAAGCACTGGCCACACATTCAATTTAAGGCATAACAGGAACCAGCCACAGTTATTTTGTATATTTCCTTGTGTAATAACTTTGTGGCTTATCCCCTGTTTTACCGTGTCATTAATTGAATGAACATGTGGCTAGGTCACTACTTAAGATGTGATTAACCAGTTAATGACATCTTAAGTGCACCATCTTTCAGAGGCCCTAGAAATCCTCCTATCATTATTTAGCCAGCCAATTCTAGTTTTCAGGACAGACTAGGCCGGTCTGATAGCACTGATAATTCCTATAAAATTGGTATTCTCCTACACAACTCTTTATCTGTTTCCCCCAACTGTTATAAAAAGTAATAACTCCACACCATTAATATTTATGATTATTTATTTGACACTTGAAAGCATATAAAAACTCCATTACCAAGTTTGAGCCAGCAAAACTTAGTCTTTCAATTTCAGGAAGTATTTCAATAGTCCACAGCTTAAAATTTTCAAATGTTTTGCAAATAATATTACCAATATGGAAATAAGAAAATGTTGTCAAAAAGTATTAGTCTAATATAAAGGAAATTTTTCATATTAAGGCCTCTTTTCAGGAAAGCTCTTAGCCCTTGTTTAAGTTCTATCATGTCCATTGGCCAGAGGTGTAACAATGTTGCCAGGGCACCCAGTGCAGCTCTTAGGCACAGGGGCAGTGGTGACTTCTGGTTGCCCCCAGGCTGCCTGAACAATTGTGTTGCTTCAGCAGCAGCTGTTTCTTTCTACCCTACTGCCCTTCTCCACCCAGGGAAGCTGCCCCGATTGCCCTGCCCAAGTTACCTGCTGTTGGTACCCGATATATAATCCAACTCTTCGGGATTTGACTCATTAATAAAAATAAAATACCTTAAAAATGTACTTTTTTTGCTTAAACCTAAATTTCTCTCTCAGTTATGCCAGTGTAGCCCTGCTCTTTTTGCAACAGGCAGACAGTAATACTCTGAAAGTTCTTACACCATTATAAATGGATTGCATCACTTGAAAAACTGATTTATTACCTTTATCAATTAAATATGAACAGTCAAACTCAAATACAATTTGCCATTACCTGTGCTTTAGCATTCTACATGGATATTGTCTCATTTAACTCTAATTGTAGACTCTATTCTGTAACTCAGCTCTAATTAAATAGACTTCACTTGAAAAAAATCCTTAAAATTCACCATATTGAAAGCAGCTCCAATTCATATATTTAAAAAATTTATTTAATGGCCACAACAGTTCAGGGTAGTTGCATCATGACTTTGCAATATGGTTGCACATAGCTATTCAGTCCACTGGAATACTAGACAGCTGGGAAAAGATAAGAATGGAGTGTACACCAAGTTTTTTCACTGAATTGAGCTGTTGTTAGGAAGTCCAACTCAGTGCAGAGATAGAGACATGATCCTCATGCTTTCTGGTAGACTCTAGTACATTTGACACCATTCATAATGCATTCCTAGAAAAAAAAAGATACATGAATTAAATTGCATCAAGTTTAAATTAGGACAGAACACAGGAATGCAAGTGTCAATAGGAATGCAAATATAGATTCCGAGTTTCCTTTAAAGTTATAGTATAGAAAAATACAGCCCAGGGTTATCAAATATATGGCCCACTGAGTCACTGTATAATAGCCTCCCAGGCTACCAGCAGGCAACTAGAATTTGGGAGGTGTGGTCACAGGGCCAGAGCAGGCCATTGCCTGCTAAAGAATCTGGGGGCTTGGGCCCCAGTGGACATAGTGTTCAGTGACAAGAGGGTTAGCAGGGGACAACACAGCTCCACTCACCCAGCAGCTGCTTGCCTCTATAGCCTTACAGAAGACAATAATCAGAAAGCAAGAATTAAGTCACTTACCACCACTAATTTCCCATCCATTGTTTTCCGTGTTATTGTGGATTCCTTGTCATCCCATGTCTGAAGTTGGTGCAACGTGTTATCATCAGTTAAGGTGATAAGGGTCTGCAAATAAAGACAATGACTCTGAGCTAAACAGTAAAGTTCTGATTATGTGATGCACTCCAACTCTTTTACTCCAAAGAGGAAATCCTAGCCCTGCTGAAGTCCCAGGGAGTTTTTCTATGAGTCCCAAATTTTCACTTTAAGTTTTTTTGATGGCTCTTGCTCTTACATTACTCTGCCACTTATCTAGAAATGTGTCCTACCGGTCACTGAATATAATAAAGCTACTACAGCATGCACAGTTTAAATTGTGTGCTCAGGCCTTTGTCACTGCTGTTTGGTCTTGCACTGGGCACATGTAATGACAGTGCATAATTGAGCTAGGGGAGAATCTTGGCCAGTGCACTGAATCCAAACAATGCGACAGATGCCTATCCAGCCTTGACAAGTCAACTAACTGGTATGGGTTAGGGCTAGCAAATCCTGCATCTGTGGACAAGCTGAAGTCTCTTACAACCCTATGATTTTATAACATTCAAAGAGATTAAGTTTTATTCGTTCTCATCCACTCCTAATCATGAATAATTCCTCTAATTAAAATGGGAAGGCACCTGAATTCCACAGAATGAAAGAACAGGGAGTCAGACTTGCATATCCTTACAGGTCAATCCAACGCACACTGGAAAATGTTGCGCAAGTGCAAGAGATAATGCTTCAAGATTAGCTGTGGTAACAAATCTTACACCTATTTTTGATAGAGGTGCCACTGACAGTGTTTAATATGTATTTATACGTCTGTCAGTTTAATTAAACACACTAAATATCACTGTTTTGCAATGAGAAAGTGATTAACTAGACATGCATCTTTATTTTATTTCAGTGTTTTCCCCACTGGCAGAGTAGTTAGTGTAGAAAAACTGACTGAGATCAATGGGGCCAGTCATCAGAATGCCAGCCACACCCACAAAGTAAGGCAATACTTGATGCAAGTAGGGGTTGTAGAAGGGTATCCACTGGCTTGAGATTATTCAGAAGAAAGGTTGAGGTACTGACCTGAGTTTTCCTGCCATCTAATGTATTTTCCTCAAATTTCTCATTCAGTTTGAAGCTAAATTGTGAGTTTTTAAAGGTGCTCTCTGTTTTCACAGTGATTGTATCTCCATCCTTACAGATGTGAACATCTGGTTTGGCCATACTTCCCATCTTCCTCATGGCCATATTCACACCTACAGAGGAAGAAAAGCAGCATATTAGATGAGACAATCAGACAAAGGCCTAGATTTATTAGATATCAATGGGAGTTGGTCACCTCAGTGTGTGAGGATTGGAGCATAAGACTCACAAAGAAAAATTATCAGTTTTAATCATTTGGAGAGAGTGAGGAAAGTTCATTGTGAGAACTCATATTATGTATGCTCAGGAAGAAAAAAAGTTTAATCTACTCCTCCCCCTAGAGGACCAACAGATTTTCTGTCCATTCACTCAAACATGGGTGGATCTAGGATTTTGAAGAAGGGGGGAAGGTGTAGATAGTTTGGCATAGCAACACATTTTTCTCCAGTTAAACAGAAACTAGAAGCTTTATTCACTAGAGGCCTAGCACTATATTAGTCAGTTCAAAGTAAGATCAAAGCAATAAAAAAAAAACAACAAACTTTATTGGAATGTGCACTAATTTGCAGCTAGATTTTATACTGGTAGATCATAATAAGCCATGAATTAAATTGACTCCCTCACTGCTGCTTGAATAGAAATGCTGCTGCCCCTCCTAGGCAGTTGCTTTTAAAATTTAGGTAAAGCAGGACTCAGAGAGGGATATAACTGCACCCAGTCCTGCCCACCCCCACCTGCCAGATCCTCCCTTGCTCACAAGCCAATGTGCAAGCTAGAAAGGGCAAACATGAGCTATAAAAAGAATTGCTACACATGTAATTCTGCTTCAAAAATTATCTAGCAGATTTTTTCAAAATATAAAGTTAATCTACTAATATACATTTATTTTTAGTTTATTCAAAGTCTATACTTCTGAACTCTTGCAATTAAAAAAAACCCCAAAAGCCACAGAACTGAACGCCAATATTCATCATATTCAATCCTCCGAAGTGAGAACACTCACAGGATCTATTAAAATCCACTCATCTGAGTTTTGCAGACAAAACCAAGGGAGAATGAGCTTTGGCAGCATCACTTGAAATTCCATAAATTAGGGCTAGAGCACCACTTTTTTGGTAAAGCTGAAGACGCTTCACCAAAAAAAAAAAAAATCCTTCATCCTACCTCTAGACTCTTTTTAATTAAATTAACTTGAGTACTAATATAATCTAATATCAACCATCTAACAGAAGAATAACTGATTGTGGAGGTACTTGGAGCATGAACTGCACAGAGCTTCTTACACTACCCTCAAACCAGCAATTTAACTGCACCCAACAACCTGAAAGTCTATGCATATCAGAGCTCAGGATGATGCACTTCCTGTAAGAAGTGTCACTGCAGTAGTGAGCAGTTGCATTCTGCAATATTTCATTTGAATTGTCCTACACCCCGATGCATGTTACATTTGTCACGCTGTACTCTTTAAGTGTGACAAAACATGAGCATCCACATGTTCATGCAGTTTGGCACATAAAAAAAAAAAAAAGGACGATCAATTATAAAAGCAACAGATCCATGACAATAATGCTGCCGTTTCAAACAGCAACTTCTGTCATGGGAATGTAATATATCTAAGTGGGGTGGTGGGAGGGAGAGGAAACCTGCTGGTTTCCCCATAGCCTGCTCAGCCCACAAGCTGCAAAGACCAATTTGCCACCATCATCACCTGCGTGATTGGGCTACAGTAACAGCAGGGCCTGAATGGGCAGTGCCTGCCACACAATCAGCCCTTACCACCATGTAGCTCAAGGACAGTTTTCAGCCTTTCTACCAGGGAACAAACGTTGACAGGGCTACAGCAGCAGCGGGGCCTAATGGACTGAAAGAGACCACCTTATCATCCTTTGCTGCCACCAACCATTTGTGGGAAGCCCCACCAGCTGTTGCCACCATGGCAAGAGCTGGCTGAGGAAGCCTGTCAATAACACTGTTCTGCTCACTGACAGGCTCCCTTGGGGAACAGGAGAGCTAAAAAACAGCCCCTATTGCCTGCTGCCTGGAAAGCATGCCTCTGTGGGATCTGCCAATGTACGCCTGCTCCTATCTGTTGGAGTGCTGCAAACTTTGTAGCACAACAGAAATTATGTGCATCTAGGGCCTCTGTATTCTCATGTACAGCACAACAGTGTTCTAGCCTTGAGACAACTGCATCAAGTGTGGTGAAGACTAACCCCCAAAAGTTTATAGTTTCTAGCTAGATGGAGGTGATGAAGAGAATTCCTAGCCACAGCTTCTACTTGTACCTCCACAACTGCTTCCAATAACCTGAGTGACAAAAAGAACCCTCCCCCCAACTAGAAGGGCACAATCTAACTTTGCCACTTTTTCCAGTTAAATCTCCAGCCAACAAGAATGATCACCGCTATCCAATTGGTTCTTCATCCAAGTGACTCAGATGATCAACCACTCGATTAAGTCCAATTAAAGAAGACAGAACTTGATGTTTTCTCCATACTGAACTATAATCTGCTTTATTATACCCCTGAACCATCCGAGTTGGAATCATACCCCCCCCCACCTAGTGTACTTCAATAGGTTCAAAATGAAGTGAAGTCCTAGCCCTTGCCCCTACGATCATAGTGGATAAATACCAGACTCAATAAAGGACTCTGAAACCTGAAATAAGATGGATAAGAATTTAGGTGTTTACGTTCACTTAGCTACCATCTGTATCTACCATCTGTAGCTACCCAGTGGTATCTACAGTCTAAAGGCATTTTATTTAACTGTAAAATTCCCAGATGCCTAGAGTTGCACATCTGCACTTCACCCGAACTCCCAGTCTTCACAGGGCTGAACGGTGGTACCTAGCTCACTCCTAAGCCTGACCAAGATCCAGAAAGAAAGCATTCTTCCCTGCAAGTCCCTCAAGGGTTTCAATCTCTGAATATGCCTAATGCACACCCACAGGATTAGCCCCTCACAAAATGTACTTTCAGCTGCCTTTTCAAATGGTACTATCTCCCCTATGATCTAATGATTACTGTATTTGTCCAGGAAGTGGGAACTCCCTTTGCTGCATTAAGAGATTCAAAGTCACATTGCACACCTCTTAAGGTAATGAATTAACCACAAAAGCCTAAGCAAGAGTCTAGATGAGGAAAACATTCTCCACCTTTCCTGTTGTAGCTGTGCCACTGAGTAAGAAAGGACACTTGAGGGATATAATAAGACTTGCACAGTTCTCGGCATTTTCCTATCAGCGCTTGTTAAAGTGCTTCCACTCAGTTAAACTGCCAGCTGCTTTAGACCCTGGGTGTTCCAAGACACCCAACTCTCCCCAGGCATTGTGCCGAGAACCAAGGCACCTCACGCAGCATTAAGGACCCCCCTTCTGCAACCTGGGGTGCCCAGCCTATGAGCACCCAACTTTTTTATTGGGTCTGGCTCCAAATTATTTGCCATGCAACACAGAAAGAAAAATTTTAAAAACTTCTCAAGCAACTTATCACAGCTCCACTACAAGTGTTGCCAGCATTTGTTTTATTTTGAGTCTTGCCATACTGGAAATTGTCTTGAAACCCCAGCTACCAGAATGAGGGGACAGTGGGGAAAAAAAAATCACAGGGTGTTGAAGCTCACAGCCTTTGCTGGTGCAGAAAAGGGCTAGAAAACATGGCATCAAGAGGGCATGTCTACACATGCATTAACACACTTTAGTTAACACATTAAATCTACTACCTCCATTATAAGGTACTAGGAAAATGCGCATTAGCATATTTTAAAGCTCATTAACTAAAAATGATATGTGGGCACATCTACACATGCACTGTAGCCTACTGTAATGCTCATTAAATTGTCACCGAAAACACCATGCTATTTAGTTAATGTACATTAAAAATAGTAGTTAATGTACATTCAAACAGGCTACTGTGCATTAAGCATCACTTAAAAACCATGGGCATTTATACACATACCTTTTTGTCCAGTGACGTGCTGGAGATCCAACAGGGTGGAACAGACTCAATCAGATCTGCTATGCATGCAAGCTGATGCACACTGAGCTGCATCACATCCAGTTGTATAAGTGGCAAAATGCACATCAGCACGCAGAAAATGACAGTAGTGTGCTTTTGATCAAAAACACCTTCAAGGGATTTTCATTCAAAAACATACCACGGTCATTTTCTCAGCACTGAAATGCACTTTGCCACACGTTTGAGCTGCAACGCCGGGTGCTTTTAAAAGCACCCAGCACTGTAGCGCAAACATGTGTACAAATGCCCCATGCTCTTTACTTAATGCGCATTAAGACAGGCAAATGTGCATTTTCTTAGTACCTCACAATAGAGATGCTAGATTTAATGTGCATTAAATCAAGTGCATTAATGCACGTGTAGATGTGCCCACAGTTTTTAGTGATGCTTTAATGCACGTTGAAATAGGCTAATGCGCATTACAGCACACGTGTAGATGCACCAACATGTTTGAAAGACAGGAGGGAGATAAAAAAAAAAAGTGAGCCAAGACTTTCTCCTAAGCTTTACCCATGTCAGGTGAGGGCGTTAGCTCTGTGTTGTGCCAGGACTGCGGGGACTCTTATGTTGGGTTCAGACGACGGTTGTATGGGATGGTTTGGATAGGGACAATGCCGCCTGAGGCAGGCAGGGGCTGGACTAGGTGGCCCCAGGGCCCTCCCAGCCCCGTTTCTCTACGGCTCTGGTGGTGAGGACTTCCGAGAGGAGCGCGCGGTGCCTGCGAGCACCTGGGAGGATGCTCGGATGAGGCCAGGG